TACACGGGGCACGAACTAGGTAGTTCGAACTAGGAAGCCTACCTAGTTCGTGCCCCGTGTAGCCGCGTGGCACGGGGTTCGAACGAGCGGGGATTTAAAAATGGCGGAGCCCCGCTTATGCAAATGAAGCCCGGGAAATTCAAATCCCGGGCTTCATTTGCAATTGCGGTATGCCTACATTACCCTCCTATTTCGAATTAGGAGGGTAGTGTAGACATACCCTCAGTTCCCAATTCTGCCGCAGACTCCCAGGGCAAGTCACTTAATCTCTCTTTATCTAGGTCCTTAGTCTAGAAAATGGGCATAATAATCCTGCCTTTCTTTCACCCTTTGCCATCTCTATTTAGACTATATGCTCCTCGGTGCATATAGTGGAGCCTGTCTCACTACACGTCTGAGCCCTCTCGGCACCACTGTAATACAAATCAAGAATAAGGAAGTTAACCCTGCACAGGCTGGTATGTTCTTACTCCACAGCAGAGCCAGGTACAATGAAAGCCGCACAGAGAACTCAACTCAAGCACTCACTCCCAGGAGACCTGAGGTGGTTGATTCTTGTTTATTTCAATGCAGCTGGTGGCTGTAAGATTTATTAGGTGTGAAGGCACTCAAGGCCCTTGCAGCAGCATTTGATTTACCATTGTTTACACTGAAATCTACAGAAATAAGCACAGGCTGTGGGAGGATTCAATGTTTTAACATGGAGAAAAGGGGCTTTTAAAAAAAAATTAATTACCTCAGTTAACCCATGGAACTCACTGCTGCAGGATATTACTGAGGCACATCATTCAAAACAATCAAAAGAATGAGAAGTTGCTAAATAGAATATTTGGAGATACAACCTGTAGAGTAAAGTTACCAAGGTCTCAATCTCCAGTCTTCAGGGCATAAGATGGCAACAGGTAGAAATCTTCTTCCTACCATCATACAGTATTGCACATGGACATGTATTAGACCTTATTTTGCCTTCCTGTAAATGCTCTGTGACATACGATAAGTTGCAGACAGGCTCTTGGACTGACCTGTTGGCCTGTTTCAACACCTCAGTGTCAGTGTTCTGACTCACTCATACAATATCCATCTGGTGGTAATACTTGGCTGTGGCTACAGGTCAATTCAGGCAGGGAGGGTCTGGGGGTGATTTACCTGATGCACTGACAGTGGTACCATTTGCCTGCAGTGTTGGAGGGTGAGGTGGAAGGTTGCTCTGGGCCTGGGGGTGGTTTACCTGAAGCACTGGCGGTGGTACAGCTTGCCCTCAGCAAGGTAGCGCTGAACCAGGTGGACGTGCTTGTGGCAGGCTGCACAAGTGCTGCTGAGCGTATTGCACTGGGATCGCTCTGCTAGGCCTTCGGCAACATCATCCTGTCACAGGACACAAGGAAAGAGCAGACTGGAGGGGCAGCAATCAACAAAACAATGTATTTCCAAAGGATGCTCTTTGGGGCAGGGGACAGTCCACACAGCACAACTCCTCCCATTGTGCCAGATGCTCCCACAGATGCTGCAGTGATGAGCACAGTGCACAGAAAGCTAAAAGACGGGGTTAACTTTGCTACAAAAGACAAGGTACCTGTGGTGCTGGGGGGCTCTCCACTGCAGGCACAGGCTTCTTGTGAGCTGGCAGAGGGGGTGATGAGGCAGCAGCTGGGTGCCTCATGGGCGGAGGGACTCTTGCTGGAGAGACAGAGGTAAAGGGGAATCAGCCACTGACAGAAGTGGAGGATTCATGCAAAGCACGTGGTGCAGGAAAATCATCTGACCTCATGACCCAGGATGGAATCTCCCCACTTTTTACACTTCCTATTCTAGGAAGAAGTGAGAGGCTAATGGGCTAACCATGAGGCTGACAACCAAGAAGCCCTGCATTCTAATCCTAGCGCTGACAAGACTCCTTCCTGTGGCCCTGGGCAAATCATTCGCCTCTCTATACCTCAGTTTTCCCATCTGTAAAATGGAGATACCACAACTTAGCTACCTTATAGAGTGTTCTGATGATGAGCTAGATCATCAGATCACAAAGCACTGGGTAAGTACTAAGTATCGTGGAAGCCCCCTGAGTGTAGACTACAGGATACCACAAAACCCCTACCACAGCCAGGGCTGACACTAATGTGTGGAGGGGAGGGGAGCACCTGTTGTCCGTTAACACCTGAGCAAAGTCTTCAGCATGGACACAGGGTCTCTCTTGAGAGGGGCTGGTGTGTGTGAGTTACACTGGAGGAGGTTTTCTGTAAGCTGCAGTGGACTGTAAGATGGGGGGTTAGATAAAGGGAGTAGAGCTAGGAAAGAGTAATGGGAAACCCAGCTCCCTTCAGGAAAGATGCTCTTGTGGGCAGCTGACACTGAGCTTCTCATCACTCGAGTTCCCAAAGCCCTAGATCCAGTCTTCAAGTGAGATCAGTGAGAGTCAGGTACGATCCAGGACACCATGAAGTACAACAGCACCTACCGCTGAGACACCTGTCCCCAAAAGAAGAGGAAAACAAGGAAAATCTGGGCGCTCTCTTCCCGCTATCTTTCTGGCCTTGAGACCAGCCTGCCTTCCCAGCTGTCACTGGGCTATGAGTTTAGTAATTAACTCTAGAACACTTTCTGCTAACTCAGTGAGGCCATATCACACCCCCTGCCTCCTCCCGCATCACTTCCTGCAGTAGCGCATTACAGAGGGAGACGAGGAAGTACTGGATTGGAAACAGGAAGCTGTGATGAGCTCACTACCCGGGTGGAGAGGGACAGATGAGATTGCACCAGCATGGCTACAGAGGGCAGGGTGGAAGCTGGAAGGATAGGTGGTAGCTCTCACCTTGGTTGGGATTGGTGAAATGGTTGTAATACTGAGACACGTAGGTCATGATGCTGAGGCAATCTGGGACCTTCATGGAGACCATATCGTTGGGATCCAGCAGGGCGGGGATCCCCAGCTCCCGCTCTGCCAACTCAAAGGCCTGTGGGAGTTCCAGAGAGGGAGGAAAGGAGTTCAGACCGAGGCCCAGTGGAAAATGGAGGTCCTTGGACACACTGGTTTGGTAGAACCTGGGAGCCTGAGGCTGGTGAAAAGCTTGCACGTCGAAGAACCCAAAAGCAAGGATGCTTAGTAATGGAGGTGCCCTTGTTCTCAGTGACCCTCAAGCTATCACCCCTTCCTCTCCTCTCCCCTCTGCTACACCACCTAGTGTACTTGTTCTTCCATGTTCCCTCCTCTTCCCAGGGAGTCTCCTCATAGTTATGGCCTGAGTGGGGAGAAAGCCAGGTCAGTCTCCAGAGACCGTTCCAGCAATAACGCAGCCCAGTAGTACTACATGGGAGGGTGGTTTCAGTCAGATGGGCATTTGCCCCACTAGGAACCGTCGTGCGATTCCCCATCTCATCTCCAGAGAAAAATGATCTTGTGATTAAGACACTGGCTCAATTCCCAGCCCTGTCTGCAAATGACTGTATGACCTGTGGCAAGCCCCACAATCTCTCTGTGAAATGGGAACTTGCCTCACAGCAGTAGGGATATATCCATTAATGTTTGTAGGGTGCTCAGAAACTCCTGGGGGGAGGCACTTAAAGTACCTAGATGGACAGATAAATCCATATAGGCTTCTCATGGTCAAACAGGACATCTGCCAGCCAGGAATAATGAGGCACAATGCACAGGACCCGGGTGGGCTCTGCAGTACCACTGAAGTTTGCCCAGCAGAGGGGTGTGTTGCTTTCACTGCAGGTTAATGTCTGCACTTGCTGTTGCTTCTCTGGCAAGCCAGCCCAGACTACACATTAGCCCTGACATAGCATTGCTGACACCTACTACTTTGCCACTCAAGTGTCTCAACCACTGTTGGCAAAACAAACCCTGAGACAAATACTCTACAGGCAGAGCCAGAGAGCAGAAGAGCTACGGGTCTAAACAGAATGACTGTGGAACACAGAGCAGCGTGTGTGGGGAGCTCTCGGACTGAATGAACCCCAAATATTGTAGGTAGCTTGTTTCCCTTTGGGTAGGAGAGTGTGATTATTTTGGGGGATCCTTGGGATCCCCAGCTGCTCCTCTGGGGACTTATTTTCTTTTGAACCTGTCTTTCATGAGCCCTGGTGAGGCCTACGTTCCACGGCTCCTTTTTTTTCCAGCTCTCCCGCTGGTTGGATATTCTCAGGCGACCTCATGACTCCACTTTCACTGGATTACTGCTTACACGCATAGCCACAAATTGATCCAAGCAAATTCCACCACTAATCCCCAGGCCAAAAGAACATAAGAATGGCCATACTGGACCAACGGTTCAGTATCCCGTCTTCCAACAGTAGCCAATGCCAGGTACCCCAAAGGAATGAACAGAACAGATAACCATCAAGTGATCCATCCCCTGTGGCCCATTCCCAGCTTCTGACAAACAGAGGCTAGAGACACCATTCCTGCCCATCCCAGCTAATAGCCATTGATGGACCTAGCCTCCATGAATTTATCTAGCTCTTGTTTTGGGAAATCAATAAGCATATTTCTCCAACTCCAGTGAGCACCAAACAGTGGGGCTTGCTAGAGGTAATGGAGCTGGGCAGAAGGGCAGTGAGTGAATACTGCTTCCCTGAAGCAGCATTGTCCACAGGACATCATATCCAGTCTTGTTTGACAGACGGCACTTCTGGGATCATGGCTTCTCTCAGAGTTGCACTCCAGGCCGTGGCTTCACAGAGAGCCACACCACTTCTGGGACCATCACTTCACCAGAAACTGTGCTGGCCTTAGGAATTCCCAGTCCTTAGGATCATACTGCCCTTTGGACCACCAGTCCCCAGGAACCACTCCTTGCTTGAGCATGATACTTTGCTGTGGGCCGCTTCAGCTGTGATTTGTTCTAAGCTCATTTGCTCTGCATCCCATCAGACAAAACTTGAAAACATCTATCAGAGTCCACCAGCAACACCACCCTAGGGAGAAGCCCAGTCCTCCTGCAAGCAGCTGCTGGGAAGAATGAGGGTGCTTGGGACTGCAACCAGGGTGCAGTCCCTAGACCATGTTCATGGCCTCTAGCCTGTGGCTAGTGTCTGATAGACATGATGCTCCTGCTCTGCCATTCCTTTAGCTGTTGAGACACGGGAGCTTTCTCTCTCTTCATTCTCCTCCAGAGCCTCCTGACTGCTGTGGAGAAAGGTCTCTAAATCAACCAACACCTACTCACAGCCTCTGATTTTGGGGCCCTCCTTTGCTCTCAATAACTCCTGTGCTTGCTGATGATAGCTTTTCCAAGGAGCACTGTGAAACCGACATGAATCTAGACAGCTGCACTGACAACAGCAGCTGTGAAACTAACCGGACTCTTGTTAGCTTCATTCTTCAGCTGTCTGACAAAGTTCAGAACAGCAGGCACAACAGAGCACATTGGTTCAGTCATTTCCCACTTGGGAAGCTACCTTGACAACAACATGATCTAGAAGTTTATATTTTCTTTAATGCAAGATTATAAGGTGTGGAAGCAGACACATCAGTCCCCCCCACTCACACTGCTTCTTCCTTATCCAAGGTGAATAGATTTTTCTAGCTTTGTACAGATGACTGCCACCATGTCCCCCAGCCTTTGAGTGCACATTATGCCAACACTGCAAACTTTACCATGTTATTTCCCATGTCCAAGATTCCCTCTTTCCCGGGAACTCACCAGCTGGTTGTTCTCGTAGACATTGTCCTTGGAGAGCAAATCAAAATCTCTGGAACAAGAAAGCACAGAGAAGTGATATGAGAAAGGGGAGGAATGGCTCTGCAAGACACCACAAACAGGTTCCCAGGGCAGCCAATCTTACAAGAGCATTTCAATAATAAAAAGCAGAACTCCCAGATGACCAAAACCTGTGTTCCAGC